GGGAATAAAATCAGAGGGGATTTCTAAAGGAAATTGCCTGGGGTGCAACGCCCAGGCACGTCCCCTGCCAGCAAGGGGATCCCAGCAAATGCAGCTCATGCTGGGGTGCAAGGGGTTGAAGAATGGGTAAGGGACACCCATGTGTGACACACGGGCATTGCTTTAGGCTCATTAACAGCAGCTCTAGCTCAGCTCTGACAGTAAACATCAGCCATCCTTCCATCCCTGTCACGCTGGAGGCCCTACCCCTGGCTGGGACACCAGCTCCCGCTCGGCAGCGAGGGGAAAAAAATCAACATTTCTCAGCTTTACACCTGCCCCCATAAATTACCAGGCAAACAGCTGGGGGCTCTCTGCAACCCAACCCACTGCGTGCAGCATCCCCAAAGGGCAAGAGGCTGCAAAGCTCCTTCCAGGGTGGCTCCTGGTGGGGTGACACACGGCAGAGCCCTGCACCCCATTATCGGGACCCCTAGGCATGGTCCCTGCCCCTGTGGTGGCCGGGCAGGATCTGAGCAACAGCAGAGCTGGGACCCGATGCCAACAAAGGCTGCCCAAATGCCATCTCCGGGTCTCCCATGCAGCCCCATGCTCTCAGCTGGTGGCGTGCACCAGTCCCTGGCTGCCTTGGGGGGGAAAAGAGGCACCCACCCACCCTACATATTTCTCCACGGAGCTGGGAAATGGACTCAGCCCCCGAGGGACGGAGGGTGACGCAGGGCAGGCAGGGCTGTGCTCCCAGCATTACGTGGCTTTTGCCGAAGCCCCTTTCCCGCGGAGAGGAGACCAAGGATCCCCCCCTCCCCATCCTCCTCCTCGCTCCAAACCCTCTCCCGTGCCCACTCTTTGTCTGCCTGTCCCTCCGCAGCTGCTGCCGTATCGCATCTCACATTTTCCAGCCCGCTGAGCAGGGCCGGGAGCCGCTCTCCATCGCACGGCTCAGCAACAACCAGACAGGGCAAGGACACCCGAGACACCTCCTCCCTCCCTGGGCTGCCAACCCGGCCATGAGAAACAGCATTTTTTTTTGTGGGGGGAAACGCTTGAAATAACCTATTTACAGGGGGGGGGGGGTCACGGCAGGTGCGTCCACCCGAGGCAAAAGGAGACACCAGCCTGCAGTGCCCAGAGCAGGAGAAAGGAAGGTAGAGCATCGCAAAAATCTGGGTTGCAAAGAGAAATGGGTGAAATGTGCTTAAAGAACGTAGATTTTATTGTAGCAGGCGAGGGAAGAAGCAACGTGAGCTGGCACCGCTACGGAGGGCTGCGATGCGCTCTGCTGGGAAGCTCCGAAACCCAGCGTGCATCACACGGGCGTAGTAGTACCACGCACGCCCGGCCCGTGCCAAAACCCTCCCACCACCCCCAAAAATCCTCCTTTCTCTTTAAAAACACACCAGGTTTTACCCGGCTCCCATGAATACATTAAGAAAACATTCCTTTGTAGCAATTCGGGTGAGTCCTAGGAAATAAGTCACCTCTGATAAAGGTGATTCACCCCTACCCGTGGGGAGGGGAGCTGCCCAGGCCAGTGGCCACCCCTCTGCAGGGACCCTGCAGGCTGCCTGGCGAGGCAGGTGACACCCGTTGCTTGGGTTAGGGTTTTATTTTTGCCATAAGACCCCAAATCCCTGATTTTTTAGCAGAGAGGGCACACGCCAGCACCCTGTTGCAGCCCAGCATATATTTTATGTCCCTTGCTGGAAAAAAAGAGGCAAAACTTCCACCTTTTTCTTTTTTTTTTTCTGAGCACAAGGGGTGTGGGCATCTGGCTGAGGCTTCTGCTCAGCTGGAGCCAGGGTACCACCACCCTGGTCTCCTGCTCTGCTTCCAGGAGGTGTGAGCTATGACACCAAAGCATGGTTATAAGCAGGATGCACACACCAGGGAGGTGTTCACAGAGGGACCCCCACGCTGGCATGAGCACACACGGGAGATGCCACGGCCAAGAAGGGAGGAGGCCACCAGCATCCAGCATCCCCATGGTGCTCCTAGGTGCACCTCCCCAGCATCTCCCTGCTTTCCCCACCACTCCTGGTTGGGGGATTTGAGTCGCCAGCCCCCATGGCAGGTAAAATACTCGCACCCCACAGGCCTGCAGCTTGCCAGGAAGAAGATGACATGGAAATGGAGGAAGCGACCGTGCGGTCCACAGGCACTGCAGCCTCCACATGCACGTTCTTGGGAACCGGAGAGGCCTCATCTGTATTTTTCCAACTCTCAGTAAATCAAAGCCCTTAAGCTCTTGCTGCTAATTCTGGCAGGAGTTGGGACACCAGCTGGGAACCAGGGCTTTGCTAATGGACAAAGGGCCTGATTGAGCATCTTCAAGCGCGTCACCCAATGCCTAGCTCCCGATAATCCCAACGCATTTACAAACTTTGGCACCGGTGGTTGAGAGCTGGCCTGATTTCCAACCTGTGACACCCGAGGAGCAGCCAGCGAGACCCAGCACCTACCCCTGAGCCCCCCCCCACCCCGGCAGATGATCGCCCAAGCATCTCCATCCACAGCTCCACCCTGAAGAAGAGCAGAGGGAGCAAAATGCCTGCAGCCCCAGCGGGATGTGGTACCCGGTGGGTTTTTGTGCCCACCTCACAGCAGGCAGCATGTGCCAAGGTACATGGGGTCAATGTGTGACCAGAGGTGGAACAGCCCCAGGTCCCTGTCCCCACATGGCACATCTGCCCCGGCTTCACCATGTGCCCATGAACCAGGCAGCCACACTGCACGCCTGGAAAAAAGCCCCAGGGAGAATGGGAACCAGTGGAAAGAAGCGAGCTGGAAAATCCCCCCAGGGGCTGGCAGGCGGGGAGGGCAGCGGGGAGCATCCCACCCTCTGCCAGGCTGAGCATCCCACCCTGTGCCAGGCCGAGTTGTGCCCCACCACGCAGGGTCAGGCTGTGCCATGCTGTGCTCTGGGATGCCAAACCGGGCTGAGCCAAACTGTGCCATGCTGAGCTGTGCCAGCCCAGGCTGTGCTGAGCGTTGCCATGCCAGGTCTGGCCATGCCGTGCTGAGCCAAGCTGTGCCCAGCTATGCCATGCCAGGGCAAGTCATGCCAGGCAAAGCTAGCCCACATTGTGTTAATACATGTCCTGTGCCAAAGCCTGCCATGCCAAGCAGTGCCCAGCCGTGCCACGCCATGCTGGACCATGGCCAGCTGGGCCATGCTGTGCCAAGCTGAGCTTTGCCCTGTGTCCATGCCAGGCTTCGGGGAGCCATGCCCTGCAGCCAGCCACGCCACGCTCTGCTGAGATGAGCCAAGCCCAGCCACAGCACGCCAGGCCATCCCCAGCCGTGCCACGCCACGCCGAGCTGAGCCCAGTGATGTGCCAGGCCATGTCTGGTGACACTGTGCTGGGCCGAGCCGTGCCAAGCCCTGCACCCACCCACGCTGCCCAACTGAGCCAGGCCAGGCCATGCTCAGCGATGCCATGCCATGTCAGAGCTCAGCAATGCTGTGCCCTGTGCCCAGCCATGCCCAGGGATGCTCTGCCATGCTGGGATGCCACTCCGTGCCCAGGGATGCTGTGCCATGCCATGACGTTCTCAGGGATGCTGTGACACGCTGAGCCATGCCCTGAGATGCCACTCCATGCCCAGGGACGCTGTGCCACGCTGAGCCATGCCCTGGGAAGTACATCACTCCGTGCTCAGTGACACTGAGCCATGCTACACCCAGGGATGCCACATCATGCCATGCCGTGGGATGCTATGCTGTGCCCAGGGATGCTGAGCCATGGTGTCCCGTGCCCTGGGATGCCACATTGTGCCCTGCTACTGCCCAGGGATGCTGTGCCATGCTGAGCTATGCCCAGGCACGCTAAGCCATGCTGACCCAGGCCCTGGGATGCTGTGTTGTGCCCAGGCATGCCAAGCCATGCTGACCTGTGCCCTGGGATGCCACTCCATGCCATGCTATGGCCAGGGATGCTGAGCCTTTCTAACCCATGCCCTGGGGTGCCATGCCGTGCCCAGGGATGTTGAATCATGCTATGGCCAGGGATGCTGAGCCTTTCTAACCCATGCCCTGGGGTGCCATGCCGTGCCCAGGGATGTTGAATCATGCTATGGCCAGGGATGCTGAGCCTTTCTAACCCATGCCCTGGGGTGCCATGCCGTGCCCAGGGATGTTGAATCATGCTATGGCCAGGGATGCTGAGCCTTTCTAACCCATGCCCTGGGGTGCCATGCCGTGCCCAGGGATGTTGAATCATGCTATGGCCAGGGATGCTGAGCCTTTCTAGCCCATGCCCTGGGGTGCCATGCTGTGCCCGGAGATGCTGAGCCATGGTGCCCCACGCCCTGGGATGCCACATTGTGTCATGCTACTGCCCAGGGATGCTGTGCCATGCTGAGCTATGCCCAGGCATGCCAAGCCATGCTGACCCAGGCCCTGGGATGCCACTCCATGCCATGCTATGGCCAGGGACGCTGTGCCACACTGAGCCATGCCCTCAGACGCCATGTGGTGCCACGCCATGCCCAGGGATGTTGAATCCCGCTATGGCCAGGGATGCTGAGCCTTTCTAACCCATGCCCTGGGGTGCCATGCTGTGCCCGGAGATGCTGAGCCATGGTGCCCCATGCCCTGGGATGCCACATTGTGTCATGCTACTGCCCAGGGATGCTGTGCCATGCTGAGCTATGCCCAGGCATGCCAAGCCATGCTGACCCAGGCCCTGGGATGCCACTCCATGCCATGCTATGGCCAGGGACGCTGTGCCACACTGAGCCATGCCCTCAGACGCCATGTGGTGCCACGCCATGCCCAGGGATGTTGAATCCCGCTATGGCCAGGGATGCTGAGCCTTTCTAACCCATGCCCTGGGGTGCCACGCTGTGCCCCGCCGCTGCCCAGGGATGCGGTGCCCCCCCCCGAGCCGTGCCCTGGGATGCCACGCCGTGCCCACCTTGAGATAGTCGTTCTCGGAGCGCAGATCCTCCAGCTCCCGGAGCAGCCCGTCGGTGCCGGCGTCCAGCAGCTCCTCGGTGAGGTCGGAGAAGGCGAGGGAGGTGCTGAGCTGCAGGCGGCTGCTGGCCACGGAGGCGGCCGAGGGCTCCTCGGGCAACGGCGAGGCCTCTCCGGCGGAGGGCGGGGGCGGCGGGGCGCTGCCGGGCGACTCGCCATCGCTGCCGCTGAGCCCCAGCTCCAGCGAGAGCAGCTTCGCCTCCTCCGAGGCGCTGCAGTCCGACACCTCCGAGCTGCTGTCGGTCAGGCTGCTCCCCGCCACCGACCCGGCCACCGCAGCCGCCGCCGTCGCTCCGGCTCCCGTTCTCCTCGCCCCGTTGGCCGCCGTCTCTACCCCCC